GGGGGGGGGGGGGGGGGGGGGAAGAGGACTTTTGCTAAATTGACCACTTATAAAATGAAGAGTTACTTCGGGAATTTTACGCCTCTATATCGAGATTTCAGGGACTTTTCTTGTATAACTGGAAATTAGTAAATTTTCTAATTATTTTGATAATTTTTCTGGAGTTCCTACTTCTGAAGTCCCTTTTTCTGTAGTCCCTATTTCTAGAGTCCCTATTTCTGGAGTCCCTTTTTCTGTAGTCGCTATTTCTGGAGTCCCTTTTTCTGGAGTCCCTTTTTCTGTAGTCCCTTTTTCTGTAGTCCCTATTTCTGGAGTCCCTTTTTCTGGAGTCCCTTTTTCTGAAGTCCTTTTTTTGGAGTCCCAATTTCTGGAGTCCCTTTTTCTGGAGTCCCTTTTTCTGGAGTCCCTTTTTCTGGAGTCCCTTTTTCTGGAGTCCCTTTTTCTGTAGTCCCTTTTTCTGTAGTCCCTATTTCTGGAGTACCTCTTTCTGGAGTCCCTTTCTCTGGAGTCCCTTTTTCTAGAGTCCCTTTTTCTGGATCCCTTTTTCTCAAGTTCCTTTTTCTGAAGTCCCTTTTTCTGGAGTAAACCACTTTTTTATTAAAATCACAGTTTTAAAGAGACTGTATGCGTACTTTCAAGTGGAAGGATGGCAATGTCCGATTAACAACAGTACCCTTAAAACCTTTTTCTGATCATCAATATGAAATAGATTTTTATATTTTCAGTCGCAGTTTCTCTGTCAAATTGACTTGCGCATTTTTTGCTTACAAGAAACAACAGAGAAACACACAGAATTCTACTTTTTCTTCCACATTTTTGATAAGGAGCCCGCTAATTAATAATTATGATATTTTTGAGGAAGCGTTAATATTTCGTAATTTTTCTAAATATTTTTCTTATTTAGGTAAATACGCAATGCGGGACCTGGTTCAGAAGCTACCCTCAGGGAATCCCCAGCGCGATGTTGGTACTTCTGATGATACTATTGCAGCTGTTCTTGCTACTCTCAACGAGGTTATCAAGAAGCATCCAGAGTTCTCCAGGTTCACCCATTGTTTCTTTAACATATTTACCAGGGCTTAGGATCCATTTTAATTTTGCTTGATTAATGTTAACCCTGTAAAAAGATGGATTTTTTAAGATGAAATTTGATAGACCATGGCTAGAGATCATAAGTGAAATCTGAAGATTGTTTTTATTTGTTGTTTTAGAGGAAAACAGTTTATTGTTGTTGTTAATTTTGCAGAGTGCAATTCATAATTTAATTCATTATTTTTTTAAATTATAAAATAACGTTTTGCTTCTACTTTTTATTGAGATACAAATTACACAATTTCTAAGTATGACAAGTTATTATTTGTTCAGTATTGATTCCACTTTGAAAACCATTTGATGCTATTTTTCTATAAAGATTGAACTAAAATTACATCTTAAATTGTATTCAGATCTTTAATGGAGGCTGGTGGTGTTGACAGATTAATGAATATAACGCGGCAGCGCGCCAAGTATTCTAGCAGGGTTGTCAAGTTCGCCAGCCAGGTTCTATTTTCCATGTGGCAGCATCAGGAGCTCAGGGAGGTCTACAAGAAGTCCGGCTGGAAGGAGACAGACTTCGTCACTAAAACCGTTGCTGCACGGAACGCCCGACCAAACAGTCCAACGCACTTAAACTCTACGTTGAACCGACCAATGGCCAGCCAGGGCGGGACTAGATACGAGGATAGAACTATGGTGAGGGCGGGGCACCACGCCCAGACACAACAATATCAGGTAGAAGGGACACATAATTTATTATATCTCTTTTTAATTATTTTGCCGTATAATTCATCTATAAAATAATCTTAACAAACTCTTAACTAAGTTTTATATTTTTTTTAATTGAACAGTTATCAGAGGAAAAATGTTTTAAAATTATGTCCTGTGTGTCCGTACACTTAATTTCAAGTGACTAGATCCATTAATAGAGTGGCATGTCAGATTGACAACGGTATCCTTAATAGCTTTTTCAGATCAAGATATCCGTAAACTTTCTACTGAAAATTGATTATTTTCATCTTCGGTTTCTGTATAAAATGACTTGTATTTCTACTTCTGAACCTATTAGATTTAAACACTTTTAAAGCAAGAGAAACGACGATATATTCCACATTTTTGATCAGATAAAGATATAACGGGTACTGATGTGAATGGAAGGTGTGCCTTTGCATAGTTTACATGGATAATTTGTTCAGGGGGAGAATGTCCCTCTGGAGAACTTGTCTCTTTACGGCGGAGCCGGAGCACCTGTCGGAGCCGGAGGGCGGATGTATCCCCAAGGAACTCATATGGTAATTTTTTAGGAATTTTTGAATCTCCGCTTTTTGAAACTAACTCTACAGGGCCGAGGATCTACTTACCGTGAAACCTTTAATAACGAATACATCGAAAGAATTTATCAAATGTCGTCTTGAAAATTTTTCAATGAGTTTTATACTATGTTAAGAAAATATCAGTATTTGCGAAAATAAATAAATAGCCATGAATATGCGGGAACAGTTTTAAAGAGTTCCATATAATCATTTAATTAAAAAAACGAAATATCTGCAACATTCCATTATCAGATAGTGAAGAATACGACATTTGATGTATGTATTCGTTATTAAGGGTTTCACTGAAGTTTTATCCGCCTCAATTCTAAAAATTATTTTCATGAAAAAAAGTTTCTACGTAAAAAAAGATAAAATTTTCGGTTTTTTGTTTTCTTTCCTTTTTATTTATAAATTTACTCACTTATACTAAGTCTTTATTCAGTTTTTCAACTATTAAATTCGGGAAAAAATTCTATTTTTAATTTGCTTTATTTTTAAAGAACTAAATTAGGAAATATTACATCTTTTATATTGAAAAAATCCCTTGGGTTGATTTTCTAATTAAGCCTCCCAATGAATCTTGTGTATTTAATTATTTTAAAAAAGATTATTTGAATAAATAACTCGATTTATTAATTATTAACAAAAATATTTTTCCATCCAGCCCCCTGAGCACCAATACTAACCAGAAAGTAAGCGTGTTATAATTAAGTTTTTAAGGGTATATATTTTTAAATAAAAATATGAACTATACATTTCATTGAAGAATTTTAAATGACTCTTTATTTTACAATATTCATAAGAGAGATATCGTCGTTTTATACATTTTTAAAATGTAACTTTTACAGGGAAAAATTGAAATGAAAATAATCAATTTTTAACAAAAATCTTGCTCATCCTTGCTCATGCAAAGGTTTAAAAAGTGTCGATGTGAATCGTATATGGTTAGTTTAAATGTAGAGGATCATTTGAAATTACATCTTGGGGGGGATAGTTTTTACCAGAAAATATATACCCTTGTATATTTATTTTTGCATGTTTCTATTTATTTTTTCTAAAATGTTTCAGCTTCGAAACCCAGAACAGTATCAGAGAATAAACTTTAATAAATAATGAGTTTCTTTTCTTATTTTTCTTTTCCTTCTTGTAGGTTTACTTTTCCACTTCAGCTTGCTAGAAACAGTTTCAAAATATTGTTTAATCTAGAAAATGATTAGTTGGATCGAGTTTAGCCTAATTGTAATGTGATTATTATTTTTTATCTTTTTTTCGAAACAGTATTTTCAGCATAAAGTGGAAAAATGTCGTCTTTGTTTAAGATTTTAAGATGTTTTTAGGTCAAAACATTTGATTTGTTTATCTCGGGATTAATCTGAAATTTAAAGTTGTCACAGTGGAACTCAAGATCAAGTGTTGTAGATTAACGTAATTTTACACAAAAAGTTTTAACTATACTCTAGAGCTTATTTAAGTAGTTGTACCATTTACAAACTACTTAATCCTTCGCCACAGTTTAGATTTAAAGTCTGTGCTAATATTCCGACTTCAACCTGTTATCACTGTACAGAGGTATGGAGCATTTTCATTTTTACACAAATCTAAAATTTAATTGGGAAAATTTGATATTTCATCTATGCCCTAACGTCGCCATATTTTAAAAAAATGTTTTTATTTTCAAGGATCGGACACTTAAAAAAAAATAATATTGAAAGGACGAGGATTTCGATGTGGTTCGGACGAGAAAATAATGAGAATGTGGTTCGGACTACAGATTGATGTGGTTGGCTTTCCTCCCCTCATTCACCCACTCATCTCCTTTTATTAAAATCTGGGAATCCTAATCAGTTGTTCCTTACTTCTCTTAAACTTATCTGTGTTATCTGTGATGGTTATATCCTGTTGTAAACTTTCCAAAATTTGTATTCCTGACCTACCCTAGCTTATCTAAATTATCTGTGATTCCTGACCTACCCTAGCTTATCTAAATTATCTGTGATTCCTGACATAAACTAACCTTTCTTTATTCCTAACCTATCTGTATATTATTTGATTCCTTAAGCATATCTGTACTAACTGTGATTCTGGGGTCCAGATTTAATGGTTCTTACCCTATCTAACCTATCTCTGTGTTCAGGTCCGACCCGGAGAACCTGTGTACGCCCAAGTGAACCGTGATAAGAAGCGAACTAGCCGGGGTCCTGGGGATCAGGAGAATTCAGATTATTCTGATAGACATTGGGGAACTCAGGAGACAGCTAGACAGGTTCAACACAATAACGGAGCAGCACAACCACCAGCTGGGGATTCATGGGTCTAGCATCATCCACAAACTTCCGTTCAAGAACGTTAATCTAGCGGATTCCGTTTAAGAACGTAGATTCTTGGGGCTACGTTCAAGAACGTAGATACTCCATGCTACGTTCAAGAATGTAGACTCTCTGCTTCGTTAAAGAACGCATGGCCCTTGGTTTATTACTCCAAACGGTTACTTATCTTGAGATTTAAAATGTTTTCGTTGCAGAACGTTATAAACGAAAACCAACGAAGTGAAATTATTTAGGGACCCTCCAGTGTTAAGTACCAATATCAGGGCCATACAGTTATCTTAATATTTTCTATCTATGTCATGTAAACTGCAAATTTTTATATATAGTACTGAATAATCTCTTCCTTTCTCTTCAGCTAAAAACAAATCCAAATATCAGTATTTGCGAAAATAAATAAATAGCCATGAATATGCGGGAACAGTTTTAAAGAGTTCCATATAATCATTTAATTAAAAAAACTAAATATCTGTAACATTCCATTATCAGACAGTGAAGAATACGACATTTTATGAATTCTTTCGATGTATTCTTTATTAAGGGTTTCACTTGTGAATTACATATCCTTTTCCCTTTTCTAAAAATCCACCCCCCTCCATTATTGTCTCATGTAAATATATCAATCGTTTTTTATACTGTTTAAAATTTTTACCTTTTCGTTGTTTTTATATATTTCCGATCTTCCGATCTTCACGTGTTTAATACTATGACTGACACGTGATATACGAATATTGTGAGTTCGAGTACATAAAGTAACCAAGTACTTCTGTGTTTTTAAAGAACAAGTACATTTACGCACTTATTTGTTTGGTTACATGAAGTTCATGTGAATTTTAGTACCAAGTACACCCTGCTTGTAAAATCGAGTACAAAGTACCTATTACTCACTTAACTGCTATATGTTCCAACTTCAATTGTTAATTAATATTTAGATTTTGAAGAGAGCGCGGTTAGCGGTCAAAAAATAAACATGATTATTATTAAAAACAATTTTATTCAGCTAAGAGAAAGTTTAAAATCTCTTGTTCGCAAAATTTTTGATGTTCCATATTTTGGAATAATTAGTTAATGTTTGTCGGAAATATTTTAATTGAATTTGTTATGTATTTTATAATGTTGGTTAAGGCTCACATGTCAAATCTATGAGTTTGTGCAAGAGGGTGTCCTATTCAAGTCGAGAATTAAAGGAACCGTACATGGTATTTACAGCAGTATCCTTTAAAGCGTTGTCTGATCATGGCTGAATTATATATCAATGTTTTTGTTTCTTAAAACTGACTTTTTTGCATTTGCAATCTCACTAGTTTTAAGAAATATACGGCGTTAGCCTTAACATTATGAATCGTATAATTCAGGTATTACCAAGGTTATGCAAGGATAGTTATTTCAAAGGTGTACGCATCTTTTGTACTGCAGTGTACTGTCTCTGGGCGGGAATGTAAACACAAGACGGATGTCGAAGCCCGACATGGGATTCATCTTTCAGACACAAAACCAAAGAAATATTTTGGTCATAGGAAACTAATTTGTGAATTATCAAAATTTAATGGTTTTAACCTCCTCGGATACTATTAACACTGATGCATCTATTCTTGTTTACAAATTCCGCCCAGAGAGAACTGGTTTCATTATGTACGCAGAGTATAAGCAACTACAATTAACTTTCCTTGCATTATAACCTTGGGTATTAGCATCTTTGAATTGAGGGTTACTTAACATTGAGCTTCAAGTCCCATTCAGAGTCAAATGAAAAGTCGTCTTTATTTCCGATGGTTAATGAATTTAATTCTTATGTGTTACGTATTGCGTATTATTGAAGCTTGCGATAAAATTTTAAATTGCTTGAGGAGGGAGGGAGGGGGCAAGAGCTCAGCAATATCATGTTCGAACCCAGGTATACTTAGCAGAACCCAGCGGCATCCTTTTCGAAGCCAGCAAAAGACTGATAAAAAACTTATATTGACTTTAAAAAGAAAAACATTCAAAAAAGGAGAAGGTTTGGTAACATACATACACAAATCATTTATAATTCATAAATATCATAATCATATACTTTCTACGCTTTTTTGATTTATAGCGTAAGGTTTGAATGATAAATAATAAATTGCAATTTATACATTTATGCAATATTTTACTTATCACCGATTCATCACTGCGAACATTCCTTCCCAAGTATAGGAAGACACTTTTTTACACTTAGAGTTTTTAACCATTGCTTTTTATCTTTAAGCTGAGAAGAGTATTCAAATAAAAGTTTTTGGTGAACATTCTTTTGTCAGGATTCCGCTGGGTTGGGGCAGGCTTCTGCTAACTATACCTGGGTTCGAACAGGAATTAGCTAGGCTCATGACTGCATGCCCCNAAGAGAACATGTTCACAATTAATTTAGAAGATGGGCGCGAAGCGCCCTCTAAGGCTAGTAATATAAACTTGTTTAAAACTAATTTGTCTAATATTAATTTGGATTAATTGTATAGTCTTGCAGTTGCTGATGACGCTTTTATAGTTTTTGGGATTAATTCGATACAGTTTTTAACTACATTTTCCTTTCATCACAAAAAAAATTTCACAAAAATATTCATAAACTTTAGCCTTTTCTGACTAAAGGTTTTCTTGCTTCTAGACGAACTAAGTTTAAATTGCTTTTATTTTAAAAAGAAAATTCGTTTGTTAAAAACTTAAATGCATATAAACAGTTTCGTATATAAACAGTATCGCAAATAAATAGTATTGTATGAAAAAGTATTATTCTGAAAAAAAAAACAGTTCAAAACATGATCCTAAATCAATTTTTAAATGAAGCTATTAACAGAAGAGTCTAAAAACAGTTCAAACGATAGTATTCTTTTGAAAAATACAAAAATCTCAAATCCAACGGAAATGGCTAAGAGCTTCAATGATTTTTTTTTATTATTGATGGGAATATCATTAGTTTAATTTCTACAGATTTCCTTTACGTATATGTCTGAATGTTTTCAACCAAAACCAATAAATAATTTAAAAAGTTACAACAGAAGATTAATGGTAAAATGTTGGATTAGCGCTAATCATTGTTTTTAATTGATACTGTTTCTGGTGAAAGTAACAGTGATTTTTCGCCAGTGGATCACTTCAACGTTTCTGAGCTAACTTGAATAACAAATTTCATTACAAATTTTGTGTGAAAGGTTTAGTAATTACAGAATGGGTTACAATGAAATTGATTAAAATTAAAGCGGAATTGTAATGAAATTTCCCACTGCAGCCAAACAAGTAAAAAAATTTATCAAACCTTTTGTAAATTTCCATCTACTATGCTATTCAAAATATATTTAAATTTCCATCTACTATGCTATTCAAAATATATTTAAATTTCCATCTACTATGCTATTCAAAATATATTTAAATTTGTTTCGACTATTGGTATCATAGATTAATTAATTATGTTCACCCCGAGGCAGCAGCCCAAAGGTGTTGTGTGTAGTCAAAGTAGAACAGGCTCTATCTTGTTTCTACGACTACACGCAACTCCTTTGGGTTGCTGCATCAAGGTTATTGAGGAACACCCTGTAAACTAGTATTGATGAACACCCTGTATACTAGAGATGTCAACGTTTTGATTTTTCTAGATTTTAGCTTTCGTTGCGATAGAGTTCATTAAAAGTATAAACGTTTGAAACGTTACGTTGCACATTATAAAATTTTATGGCATAGAGTAAAGCTCCGTTATGCTTTAGCATTTCCCTTTTTAAAAAACTTTCCCAAGGTTGCGTTAAAGCTTATGTAATATAACCACAATTTTTTAATGTTCCACTTTCATGCAAGGTAAATATTTGCAGAGACCTTACGTTCCATTTTCACTTAGTTTAAGATCTAAAATATGACAAACGTTTTGCTTTAATAAAACGTCAATTGGGGCATAGTTCTGTACGTTACAATGCATTTCAGTGCAAAAAATATTTTTTTGTTAATGTTACGTTTATCTTGACGTTTCCAATAAAAACTCTTTTAATTACGTTTAGAAATTTTAAAATGCGCCTTTTCTTGCGTTACGATTCATCGAAACGTTATTGTGAAAACTTTTTTGTTACACTTTTTTACAACTGACAATCAAAACTGTTTATTTGTTTCGTTTTTTAAAAAGATTTGAAAAAATGTTCTATACGTTGCGTTGTATTAAAATGTTCAAGCCTTAATGTTTCTTACGTTACACTTTATTAAAATGATATTGTTTCTAAATGAAAGCATTGCAAGATTTTTTTTGTGATAATTACATTTTTTTACTCGCCCTGTATGTTGCTTTTTTATTGTTAACCTTTATAGAGATTGTGCAGAAGAATTTGCATTATGCAATATAAAGATGTTACAATATTATTTTTTTAACGATTTTTAAAATTTGTAAATGAAAGTTTTTACCATTAGACTTTTAACTCAAAGTGTGTCTAAAGGGACTAGAGACGTAATTTCAAGTGACCTTCCATTTATGGAGTGCATGTCCAGTAAGGGTGATAAATATTGGAATAGACCCAACCGCCCACCGGAAGTCCTTGCGTTTTCACTTTAAAAAAATATTGCAATCAAAAAAAATTTCAAAATTGTCCATAGGGGATCGATTTGACGAATTAATATCGGAGAATTCACCTTAACGCCACAAAAAAAAATTTTTTATTTTTTATTTTTATGTTATACATTATTTTCTTGGAAATTCAGTTCTGAATTCAAATCTGAAAAGCGTTAAAAAAATTGAAAATTGAGTGAGTTAGAGCTAAAAAACTCATTAAAAACATTAAAAGTTAAAAAACAGGAATTTAGTACCGTTATTTGGCCAANTGAACACCCTGTATACTAGTATTGATGAACACCCTGTATACTAGTATTGATGAACACCCTGTATACTAGTATTGATGAACACCCTGTATACTAGTATTGATGAACACCCTGTATACTAGTATTGATGAACACCCTGTATACTAGTATTGATGAACACCCTGTATACTAGTATTGATGAACACCCTGTATACTAGTATTGATGAACACCCTGTATACTAGTATTGATGAACACCCTGTATACTAGTATTGATGAACACCCTGTATACTAGTATTGATGAACACCCTGTATACTAGTATTGATGAACACCCTGTATACTAGTATTGATGAACACCCTGTATACTAGTATTGATGAACACCCTGTATACTAGTATTGTGGAACACCCTGTATAATTACTGCCGAATCTACTGATTTCTGGAGAAAGTTGACCGGAGTGGCAGTAGGCTGTCTGCTGTCCTCCTGACAGCATGCAGTTTCATATAATTCCGCTAGTCCTGCTAGTGGCGCTAGTGTCCCTGCCTAATTGCACTCTAGTAAATGGAGAGAATTCAGTAGAAAGTGCTCCAAGTCAAATAGAAAGACCCCCGGTAATCTTTAAATATAAATTAGTAATTTCTGTTTGTCTGTTTGTCTGTTTGTCCGATCACAACTCAGGAACCCTTAGATTAAGGAGCCATGCAGTAGACATTTCTATTCGTGTTGGTTGACTTTTCTAGCCGTTTTAGTTAGCCGTTAGTTTTAGTTAGCCGTTAGTTTTAGTTAGCCGTTAGTTTTAGTAAGCCGCTAGTTTTAGTTAGCTGTTAGTTTTAGTTAGCCATTAGTTTTAGTTAGCCGTTGGTTTTAAAGGTATGAACAGCATGTTCGTTTTGTTCCCAGTATATAACGTTTTGTTCCCAGTATATAACGTTTTTTTAAATTACGGTTTATAGTTCATGATCTCATCTTTATTAACGACATTAACGGAAAATATTTTCAACAACTCTTAACGGCTTCAGCCATTAATGGTCTATTACAATATTAACCGCGCAAAGCGCCGAAAAATAAATTGTGTGACTGTTTAAGAATTAATGGTTAACGTTTTGTTTTCGTTTTCAATATTATTTTTTTTTCAAAGCGGCTAATCCGTACCGTTAACGGTTTAAATATTATCTGTTTGTTGCTGTTTCTTCCATTAATTTTTGAAAACCTCTGTTCCGTTAAGGGAACTTTGCCCAGCCCTACTTTTTATTTATAGAGTTGCTTTTCACATGCACATCGCTATCCAAAAAAAAAATTCTGAGCAACGTAGTTTTCGGAGGAAATCTTTGTTTTGTTAAAGTACCCGTTTTAAAAAATCGAATTTTGAAAAAATGCGAATTTAAAAAAATCGATTTTTTAGCCTTTGTTACCGCCATGGCAGCGTACTGCGTAGCCATGGGTTCCCTCAAAAAATGTCAGCCCAATCGGTCCAGTCGTTTAGCCGAGTATAGCTGACATATATATATGAGCTTAGAGCTTTATTATTACAGATTATTAGTTTCTGTAACAAAAATCTAAAAACTCAAATAGAAACTAGAATTAAAGATAATCAAGTTTAAGCAGGAAACACGAAAATGCATTATCATCTTGAAAAAATACCTGAAATGCTGAGATATTCTTAGTTTTTCCTCGCAAAGTTTTAAGACCACCTCTTGTACTAAAAGACTTTAGTGCATCGATTTAAAACTTGATTTAAAGGTCACGCTTGAAATTAATCATAATTTTGGTTGATAAAACATTGATTAATTAGTTCATAGATTTCGAGATAATTAAGATTTGTAGCTTAATTTTACTGTATTGCACTGTACTGTAGTTTACTTAGCACCATACTTTGCTGTACTAGTACCTTACAGTGTACCAGTACAGACTTCAGACATTACAAAGGTCGGACAGTACAAACGTCGGACTTACAAACGTCGAATTGAGAGAAACGTCTGACTAATATAAACGTTGGGCCAGAACAAACGTCTGACTAATATAAACGTTGGGCCAGTACAAACGTCGGACGGGAACATTTTTAAGGAAACACGTATAGATATTTAATATATATATATATCAATGAAAAATATATTTGTACTACAACGTATTCTTTATCTAAAAGCAAACATTTCCTAGAATTTGAATGCATTTTCAACTTATTATATTACGTATACACATATCGATTATAAAATACATCAATATGTATAATGTATATTGTGTAGTTTTTAATTTATGCAAAAAATATGTTCTTGAAGTTATGCAGAGCTAAAAACTTTAGAAGTGGATACCCTTAATACCGATTGCTTAATCTGAATATCCGCTGTGGACACTTTTGTTTTCTACTTAATCCACTACTTTTCCCTCTTTTTGAATATACCTACCAGAATCCGACCTATGGTTAAATGTTATATACTTCCGAAGATACAAGCTACAGATTAAAATAATCTTAAGATTAAAAAAAGAAAAATGACTAATATATCTTTTAATTTAGATTTAAAATTCATAAACAATGAATTAAATTTGACACTTTTTACGCTAAATCAAGTACGTTATCTTCCACATTATTGATCAAATAAAGAGCATTTCCCCCTTGAAATATATGCTTAATAATACCATTATTCATCAAAATTATTTATTAAATATTTAATAATTCTTATTTACTGTTTTGATCACTGTGAATCATAGTTATACATTTTTGAAATAAAATAACCGGTTTTCAGGCTGAAGCAGTTGATAGTGAAGAGGATGATGAAGATGAAGAAAATGCGGGAGAACATTCTGTAGATTTTGATGTTGATTATAATGTTCATAGACCAGCTGATCAACATACGCAGGTACAAATGGTTTGCATACATCATTAAACATGACAAGTTAATCTAAAAACAAGACTTAAATTAACTCTACCCCCGCCCCCCTCCCCCCCATCCTCCAGCCTGTTCAGGGTTAAGACTAAATTTTACAGGGATTTTTTACCTATTCTAAAACAGTAATAAAATCTTTTCAAGAATAATAAATAAATAAAGTGTAAGAATTATTACATTCATTAATATCTTTATTTACTTATTTGAAATTTCATTACTAACTTTTTAAGACTAGTAGAAACCATTTTTACATTAATTGTTAATATTGAAAATTCTTATATGAAATTACGTATGAAAACTTTTTTTGAGTTTCATATTTTGCCAAATTTAAACATTTTTATGAACATAATTTTGACCCCAAAAAAAGGAATACAGTGATAGACACAAGTTATGAGGTTTAACGAACAGAAAGCACAACAAGTGTGCAGTGTAAACAGACCCATTTCACTAAACCATGACTAGTATAACTATTTGTTTTATAACAACACTAATTACACCATTGTATTGCTTTATGTCGTCGTATTAGTCTATAGTTTTGTGGTTATCACTGCATAATGCACGAAAATTTGAAAATACATGCAAAGCTTTAAAAAAAGTTTATATCAAAAAATTTATTTGAATATTTCAGATTCCGAAATGTAAAACTGAAGATTTACATGAGGGTGACGTTAACTGTGAGATAGAGGTGATGTTTAAAATTTGTCAATCTTAAAATAATTCATTTTTAACTATTATTATTTTATATCGTTCATTCGTAAACAGCCCATTTTCTTCTGTTTTGTTTTCGCAATACAGTTCAAAAATACAGTTCAAAAATACAGTTCAAAAATACAGTTCAAAAATACAGTTCAAAAATACAGTTCAAAAATACAGTTCAAAAAAATTGATTTAGTTCGTTTTCAAAGGTACCGGTTATTTTCCAGATGTTTCGTTCGTTTTCTCACTCACAGACCGTTCAGTAAATTCGATTGTACAAAAAAACCGTTAAAACTATCGTTTTTTCAAAAGTTTGTTAAAAAACATTTGTTTCAGTAAAAACAAAAAAAAAATCAAGATAATTTCAATGCTTTTAAATCTTTCCTCTTTTTTCGTTTCTATTTTCCCACATTTTGGCAAATTGTTTTCTTTATGTAATCATAGAAAAAAATGTAATAATTGAATTTCAGAAAAAAATAATTTAAGATAAAATTCACAAAAAAATCGTGAAATAACAAATATTTAGTTTTAAAATAATTCAGTCATGATGAGAATAGGACATATAGCGTATAGGACCGTAATTAAAATCATGCTTATACTGCCTCCTCATTTTTTCTTTAAATAATAAATATGAATTATCAAGATTTTGTATTTTGTGATTTTAATGGTTCTCTAAAAAGCTAAAAAGCAAGTTTTTTTATTTTAAAGTTCAAAATTATACTGGGTGTTCCAATAAACATGGGAATTCAGTGACGAATTTGATATCGTCTTTTCAGTTAATACTTTGATTTAGTAAAGTGATACTTCTGAGAAAGCTGTAATCTGTAAGAGTTTTGTCTGCTTTGTTCACATTTTGTTTGTTTATGTTTTAACTGCATATGGTTGTACTTAGTAAAACAAGAAAATTGTAGTATACAAACAGAGTAAACTTGTCCGTCTTCACTGTTCATCTTGCGGAGACATTTTAGAATAACTCTAGCAGACATAATAATATTATGGCTTTTGAAATTAGGTATTACAATGCTAATTAATAACAAAGACGATATCGAATTCGTCACTGAATTCCCATGTTTTTTTGGGACACCCTGTAGAACACTACACGTCGTGTAAAGAGACAAAACCGAGACGAAGCTCTTTTCACTTTTCATTAATTTAATCAAGTTTATTAATGTTTTAAAAGTATATATAAAAGAGGTGTGCCCGTGTTTCACAATGAACCTGTACTTTATCTGAGGCCGAATTTAAAGAATTGAAGCCGCGGATTAAATTTGAGACGCGGCTCAAATTCATTAAATTCGGACTCTGACCAATTCTGTAGAAGATATCATTGTTTTTCTAGTGTTAAAATCGTTAAATCTTGGTAATATTTCCCATTACATCAACAACAACAAATAAACAATTTTAAAAGAAAATATGATAAAGATCTTTTGCATATGTGACCAGACACAGGTTTACTGGTACTGTTGTGAATTAAATATGCAACTCAAGAGTTAACTTAACTTATGTTTTCTTAAAGGTAAAACCTAAGCTGAAGCCCTATATCAACTACAAGGGATATCATAAATGGGAAAGACGACCTCTCTTCGTAATCATTATTGGGGGGTAAGTACCTGACTCCCTGACTACCTCACTGCCTGACTACCTGAGTACCTGAGTACCTGACTGCCTGACTACCTTACTACCTCACTGCCTGACTACCTGACTACCTGAGTACCTGAATACCCGACTAACTGACTACCTGACTATCTGACTACTGACTATCTGAGTACCTGAGTACCTGACTACCTGAGTACCTGACTACCTGACTGCCTGACTACCTTACTACCTGACTACCTGACTGTCTGAATACTCGACTAACTGACTACCTGACTATCTGACTACTGACTATCTGAGTACCTGAGTACCTGAGTACCTGAGTACCTGAGTACCTGACTACCTGACTACCTAACTACCTGACTGCCTTACTACCTTAGTACCTGACTACCTGACTACCTGGATACCCGACTAACTGACTACCTGACTACTGAATATCTGACTACCTGACTATCTGAGTACCTAACTACCTGACTACCTGACTACCTGACTACCTGACTACCTGACTACCTGACTACCTGACCACCTGAATACCTGACTACCTTACTACCTGACTACCTGACTACCTGACTAGGTTAAGATGGGACTACCTGACTGAAGAGTTTTGGAACGGAACCAATCCTGGATTAGGAAATCTGAAAGCGTTTAATTGGATTCAGAAACATGGCGCAACAATGAGCCAGGTAACTTGGAGGTCACGAAGGTCAAGGGTCAAGGAGGTCAAGGAGGTCAAGTAGGTCAAGGCTATCATGGAGGTCAAGGAGGTCAAGGAGTTTAAGGAGGCCAAGGAGGTCAAGCAGGTCAAGCAGGTCAATCAGGTCAAGCAGGTCAAGCATGTCAAGCAGGTCAAGCAGGTCAAGGAGATCAAGCAGGTCAAGCAGGTCAAGAAGGTCAAGTAGGTCAAGAGGTCAAATATCTATCTTTACTAAGGTGATACCTGTATTTCCCCCCTATGACCTGCCCACCTGGACCAGCCTAGCTACTGGACTTTATCCACATAATACAGGTTTACCTAGAATTAAACCCCCCCCGCCTTCAGTTTTAATGTTTTCAATCAAAACTCCTTCTTCTGCATTTAGCAATGGATTCAAATATTTTTAAAATTATTTTAGGTAACCAAATAATTTACTGGTTTTGGAGATAAACGAGGTCTTAAAGTCGCGCTAGTAATGTCTTTTTAAAATTTTTGAAAGTTTTTTTTATAAAATTAATTTCAACTCTATTCTTATAAAAAACACATTTTTGATGGTAATATTTTAACTTTTTAACTTTATTATCAGTTAAATCATTGTTAAATGATATTTCTTTTAATTCTCATTGAATTATAAAAAATTTTTTTTTTTACTACAGTGAAACCCTTAATAACGAATACATCGAAAGAATTCATCAAATGTCGTATTCTTCACTTTCTGATAATGTAATGAATTACAGATATTTAGTTTTTTAATTAAATGATTATATGGAACTCTTTAAAACTGTTCCCGCATATTCATGGCTAAAATTTATTTATTTTCGCAAATACTGAAATTTACGTAATATAGTTTAAAACTCATTGAAAAATTGTCAAGACGACGTTTGATAAATTTTTCCGATGTATTCGCCATAAAGGGTTTCACTGTATAATTTTGATTTTTTTAAGAACGTGAATTTTATTTTTTTTTTCTTATTTTTATCATGTCATTAAAATATCATTATTAATAATTTAATCATTGTCACTGCAGTGGGAGCCAGAAAATTGTGGAGTAAAAAGTCGAATTCATATATTCTTTAAGTAACTAAAAATCCCTTATCAAACAGAATGGGTCTGTATCGACTGCACAATTTCTGTGTCTTATGTTCACTATTTGGAAGTTTAGTCCTAGAGTCGTCTTCCTATTCTTAAGTTTTCTGGTTTTCATTGTTTTCATTACTTTACTTATTAATTATTTATCAGGAGTAACAGGGGATTATATGTACAATTTGAAAACAAGGGAACTCTTCAGTAGAGATGATAGTTTAGGTATTTATTTATATATACAGCCAAACTCACATATATACGTATACATAGCAAGAGCGCGTGAAATGTCGTCTTGAAATTTATTTAAGAATTTATGACGTCTGAGCCCGTTCTCTCTATGGATAGTGGTCGTATAGTTCACGCACTTTGGGAGACGATATGTTGGCCGCTAGATGTCTCATGCTTAATTTATATCTGATAGATAGATAATTTTGACAGTACACTTGAAGACAATATAGGAGACGTCAAGTTGTCGACCAATGTAGTTTATGGAAGGAACGGCCTCTGAATGCTTCATAATTGGTCTGCACAAAAAGAAAGCTGCTGAGATGTTCTCAGCTTCAGAGGGTTGGATTCGAATTATGAAAATATATCCAAATATCATTGTAGAAACTGTTTTTTATTTTTTATTCAAGGTAAATTAATAGCCCTAAAATATGGAGGACAGCAATTGATATCTTAAACTCGTTTTTCCGCGGCATTTGATCTTAAATATGTTGAGAATACGACATTCTACAAAACTTTTGCTATTTATTCATTTATTTGGGATTCACAGTATATATTTATTTAATTTTTCCTATATCCTGAGATCTGAACGTTTGTGTTTATATTGTTAATCTTGATCTTGATATCCAATGTGGGCATTTATAAATTTTAGGATCAACGCTTGAACAATCAATTAAAGTACAGGGTGTCCCACGAAATATGACATTTAATAAATAGTTTTTTTTAGTCAAACAAATGATTTGCTTATTTATATTTTACTTTGAAATCAATTTTAATTTAATATGACTCCAATATAATATTTTTATTGATCTTTGGTATCAAACTACTTAACAAATAATGGAAAAAGACATTCTAAACTATTCACCAACTGTAATGTTTCGTGGGACACCCTGTAATTCCTGAAGGGTATAACCATCCTGGAATATTGATGAGGAATTAAGTTAATCCGTAGATCAATAGAGATCAATGCTTGATCCAGAGAATCAAAATTTTCTGGTTGGTCTACAGAGCAACTATAGAGTAACTATAGAGCAACTATAGAGCAACTATAGAGCAACTATAGAGCAACTATAGAGCAACTATAGAGCAACTATAGAGCAACTATAGAGCAACTATAGAGCAACTATAGAGCAACTATAGAGCAACTATAGAGCAACTATAGAGCAACTATAGAGCAACTATAGAGCAACGAGGAAAAACTAAAATAAAAACATTTTTGAAACCCGTTTTTCAAGGCTTTCCAAATATTTTAATTTAAACCCACATAATATTTCAGAATCCTGGTGGGTTTCCGGTGAACCTATTTGGTCAACAGCTGCTAAACACGGCAGGCAGGTTTAAAGGGAGTGTTCACCAAAATAAAGAAAGAACTAGAAAACTCTGGAATCAGAAGACGACTTTTATACTCAAGTTATGACTTTCAAATTTCAATTGCCCATGAATATGAGATACTGCAATTTTTCAGTGTAAATAGACCCATTACACGTAAAATAGATATTACAGTGTAACCGTTGTGAGCTCAATAGCTCGGAATAGGGATAGTTCCAAGAACAAGTCCCGGAGTTAAGCTCTAACATCTTTCCTGTAGAAGATCCTGGAGCGTACTGCTCCTCTAGTCCCTCTATTCTGTTATGAATCATAACAGGTGTGAGAGTTATTAGATTCAGAATCCTATTCTATAGATTACAATTGAATCTATATTAAAGAAATTAAGTGTACTGAACTATCTATATTAAGGAAAGTAAGTGTACTAAACTATCTACATTAAGGAAAGTAATTGTACTGAACTATCTATTATAAGGAAAGTAAGTATACTGAACTATCTATATTAAGGAAAGTATGTGTACTAAACTATCTATATTAAGGAAATTAGGTGTACTAAACTATCTATATGAAGGAAAGTAAGATGTACTAAACTTTTTATATTCAGGAAAGTAAGATGTACTAAACTATTTATATTAAGGAAAGTAAGATGTACTAAACTATCTATATTAAGGAAAGTAAGTGTACTAAACTATCTATATTAAGGAAAGTAAGTGTACTAAACTATCTATATTAAGGAAAGTAAGATGTACTAAACTATCTATATTAAGGAAAGTAAGTGTACTAAACTATTTATATTAAGAATAGTAAGTATACTGAACCATCTATTATAAGGAAAGTAAGTGTATTGAACTATCTATATTAAGGAAAGTAAGTGTACTAAACTATTTAGATTAAGAAATGTAAGTATACTAAACTATCTATTATAAGGAAAGTAAGTGTACTGAATAAACTATTTAGATTAAGAAAAGTAAGTATACTAAACTATCTATTATAAGGAAAGTAAGTGTACTGAACTATCAATTATAACGGAAGGAACTGTACTGAACTTTTATTTTTAGGAAAGTAAGTGTACTAAACTATTTATTATAAGGAAAGTAAGTGTACCAAACTATCTATTATAACATACTGAACTATCTTTTTTAAGGAAAGTAAGTACACTGAACTATCTATTAGAAGGAAAGTAAGTGTACTGAACTATCTATTATAAGGGAAGTAACTGTACTAAACTATATATTATAAGGAAAGTAAGTGTACTGAACTATCTATTATAAGGAAAGTAAGTGTACTGAACTAGCTATTATAAGGAAAGTAAGTGTACTAAACTATGTATATTAAGGAAAGTAAGATGTATTAAACTATCTATATTAAGGAAAGTAAGTATACTAAACTATCTATATTAAGGAAAGTATGTGTACTAAACTATTTATGTTAAGGAAAGTAAGTGTACTAAACTATCTATATTAAGGAAAGTAAATGTACTACTTACCTATATTTAGGAAAGTAAATGTACTACTTACCTATATTTAGGAAAGTACGTGTACTAAACTATCTATATTAAGGAAAGTAAGTGTACTAAACTATCTATATTAAGGAAAGTAAGTGTACTAAACTGGCATGACTGTACTTTGGCTGGGAATACACTTGAAGATCCGAATGATTGCAAGGGAAAAAAAATCTCGATTTTTGGAAATTTTAAAATACTCATAAAACCTTCATTTTGCAAGCAGCACAACTTTAAAGCCATCTAAATACAGAATATCAAAGAGGGGTTTAAATAATGGATTACAATTCTTTATCCTAAGATTCAATTAACAATGTGAATGAACGGTACACAGAAATCTTCAAGTCGCTGTAAGTTTGGAAGAGTCTTTGAAATATCCAAGGTCCACGATATTGGGTTGCAAAGATATAGGAAATAGGAAATCAAAGTTTTGTGAATTATGTATTTTTAAAACTTTTAAAAGTTTTTTAGTTTTTTAAATTTATTAAAAAAATTAATTTTTGAGAAAATTGTTATTTCTAAAATGAGATTTTTTGGTGTCCAGCCCTTTCACACGAAGAGTGGGATGCCAAGCAAGCAGAAACTAATTCAACTGTTCAATCAGGCCTTTACTAAAATACATTCGGTAATTTTAAAGGGACTGTTGGAGTAATTTCAAGTGTGGCATTTACGATTTACCCTTTAAACCGTTATCTTAAACAGTGTTAAATTCTGATAATTATAACAAAAACAAGTTACAGAGGTCCACTGTTAAAATCACTAATAGTTAGATATGTAACAGGGATTCCACCATAAATTAATTAAAATAACAGATGGGACTCTAGATGTCGTCTGTTTGTTTCGTTCACAATAACCTTGTGGCAGAAGCCCAAAGGAGTTACACGTAGTCGGCGAAGAACAGACTGTCTGTCTGTCTTTGTTCATACGCCGACTACGCGTAACAATTCTTTGGGCTTCTACCTCAGGGTTATTGTGGACGAAACACACAGAATTCTTGAAGAGACGACATCTAGTTTCATATCTGTTATTTTAATTAATCTATGGATACCACATTCTGTCTTGTTGAGACAAAGGTTTATAGAGTACAAATTGGGAACTTATCTACAATCTCTTTCTTCTTCGTCTGAAAAGAATTCCTCGTTACTTGCATTAGTTTTCTAAGAGACAAAGTTTTCAACAAATGAGAAAAATTTAATTTCAAATGTTAATGTATGTATTCGAAAAAAAAATCAACATTGTTGAATAACAAAACTTGTAACACACATTAATTCTTTTATAATTTAACGGGCTTACGTAAACTTAACAAATAACAGAACTACTAGGTCATAAACATAATAGTTTACAACACAATTACAATACACAGCTCACAGTACACTTTTATATCAATAAATTAATAAATAGTTTTATTTGGTAGTTCCTGTTTTATATTAAAGGGAGTAATCGCGAAAAATTAAAGGGGGTATAGGCTAATCGATCAATAGTAATTTTACTGTTATCTGCTGCGTCTGCTCAGGAGAAAATGGTTTAAAATGTTTTATACTTAATAGCTTATAGCGTCCATACAAATTCACAGAGTAACATTATGATCGTAATTTAATTAAACCTAAAATTAGTCATTCAGATATTGCAACCTGAAGGTGTCGAAAAGCAGCAGGGGCGTAAATAAGGTTTCTGTAGGGGGGGGGGTAAGATTTTGTAATTTTATATTTTTTTTATCCCCCCCCCCTAGAATTTTTTTTACCCTCCCTCTAGAAAATTATCATGATGTATATCAAATTATTGGTTTTAGTTGGGTTTGATTTGCATTTTCCACTCATTTCTGGCATTTACAAACTCCACCCAATAATAGCTTCATTTCATACATTTTAGCTTTCACCTTGTTTTATATCCTTCATTATAGTCATTCATTTTACATCAACTACAAAGATCTGTAAAAAAAACTGAATTTATTTTAAGTAAGATAAAAAATAATAGTTTTACTCTAAGAGGAAAAAGATGTTACTTTTTAAAATCTTTAGAGAAGCTACTCTGCAAAACTTTGAAAAAACATTGTCTTTGTTTATATTCTTATTTCTAATTTCTAAAATGTTCTTGTCGTCAATGTAGTATGTTAGAGATCTTAAATAAATCTAATATGGAAATAACATTATTTAGAAGTAAAAATGTATTCTTTATTGCCCATACCCTTTTTTCTATTAAAGAAACATCTAATTCTAATGACATTGACAATTACTTTAGAATTTAAAATCATTTAGAATATGTTGACTTAAAGTCCGAAATATCTGAATATCTGCATATTTAAAAGATATTAAATTTTAAAATCAACCTTTTTTTAAAAACAAAAGCAAAGTAACAACTCTTTCCTCCATTAAAAAGGCGGTGCGGATTTGCGCTTAAAAAACTTTTGAAGAATATCTTCAGGTTTGGTTAATTTCAATCAGGGGCGTATTCAAGAATTTGTCCAGGGGTGGGGCTTAAATTTTTTTCTCTTTCCAGGGGGGCTCAGCACCCGTTAGGGCCTGAAAACCCCCTAAAATCAATATATTTCACAACAACCCTTATTTACGCCACTGAAAAGCAGATTGATTCATTGGTAAATATTTCATAATATTTTAATTTTTTTATATATGATGCAATTTAAACAAAGATTATGTTGGCCGCCAGGTGTCTCTGCTCTCGATGTTTCTGTGGTACCACGTGGTTCCAAGTGCATCGTATATAAAAACAAAGAAAAATATTATGAAGCTATTTACGAATGCATCTAATTACATTCGACGCTTATAGGTTACAATAAATGAATGATTAAATTTAATTGAAGTATTTATACGAGCCAAGATGAATAATGCAATTCTGTGAATTTTTATGGACACTAAGCTCTATAGTTTATATACTATTATACTAATACTGATATATTGTATATAGGCTGATTATGATCTAAGTATTGTATATACTGATATATTGTATAGACTGATTATGATCTAAGTATTGTATATACTGATATATTGTATAGGCTGATTATGATCTAAGTATTGTATATACTGATGCTCTAAAGAAAGCTGCTCTAACCTACGGTCCTAACAGTCAAGAAGTCAAGAATACTCTAGCTGACTTAGATGATGTTCTTCAGGTAGATTTATCCTAGCCATAGCGCTGCAAAAATTATAATTCAATTAAAGCTTTTCGCAGTTGTTTTAAATGGAACTGTCGGCGTTATTTCTTCAGTGAATTCTAATTGAGCCGATCTACATCGGAACCTTATCCCAGCTTTTATATAGAATATGTCGTGGTTTTTTATTTAATCTGGAATAGTTTTTATTTTTGAAAATTCAATTCTCTGTGTATTGTGCGTAAACATACCTCTTGGAGATATCAATTTTAAATAAGAAAACACACAGAAATATTATTAAGAGAATCAGGGTTATAAGGTACTGTTGTGAATGTGAATGTGAATAAGGTACTGTTGTGAATGTGAATGTAAATAAGGTACTGTTGTGAATGTGAATGTGAATAAGGTACTGTTGTGAATGTGAATGTGAATAAGGTACTGTTGTGAATGTGAATGTGAATAAGGTACTCTTGTGAATGTGAATGTGAATAAGGTACTGTTGTGAATGTCCTTAAATGAATTATTAGGAGTTTTTTCAATTATGTTCATTCTTCAAATATTTCAACTGTGATAGGAAAACTGAAATGATCAAAATTATTTTGATCCGACATTATAAAAATTTGAAAAATCTTTAAAATAAGGAAAAGTGATTCTGCACTAGTCAAATATAGGTTTTTACGATAATTTCAATTTTGCAAAAAATCTAGACTTTCAGGGTTCTCCAAGGTACCAAGGTATAAAGTATATATTTATATATAAAGTATTTTTCTTCAAAGATTGAAAAATGATTAGAAAATGGTCAAAATTCCCGCTTTTTCTGTTAAGTTTTGCCATTTTTTTATATAAAACTATACGAAATAGACAAGACTTTAATTGAGTAAAACATAAGTGACCGAGTGCCGAATGTTTTATTTCTTCAGTTTAAACCTGTAAATGGTGTTTTTAAGAGCAATTGTCAAAAAACAGGATGCGGAATTATTTATGAAAATATTTATATGGTGACACAGGAATAACCTAATATTCTCAATTAACTATTAAGGCTGTACACCAAATAATTCGTTCTCATCATAAATATTTTACACAGGGTATCTGAAAGAACCCTAAAAGGTTATTTTTCTGTACAATTGTAAAAACCTACATTTGACTATAAGTGTGTGTAAAGGTACTATCTACACAACTTCATTAAGCCTGATTCACAATGTTACCCCTTAAACCATGTTCTAACGAATGTATTTAAGAAAGTCATAGGAAAAAAAGTTTTTGGAAAAAAACCTGGAAATAAAAACTTTGTTAAAAAGTCCCAAATTTCAGAAGTCCTGGGACAAAATGCCACTGGAAATAAAGTCCTGGGACAAAATGTCACTGGAAATAAAGTCCTGGGACAAAATGTCACTGGAAATAAAGTCCTGAGTTTTTTCTTAAAATAATATGGGGGCTGCCAATTCATTCTCAGGAAATAAGATCACAGGAATTAAAGTCCTAAAGAAAAAACGTCATATGTCTTTGGAAAAGGAGGTCTTACCTTAGACGTTTTCATAAAACAGACTTTTCTTCTATGCATCTGAATATTAAATATATCCACGGGTGTTTTTAATATCAAATCCTTTGATTCCATGTAAACATCTTGTGTTTCCAGGCATTTTCCACTGTAAATGAGACTTTTTTCCGAGGACTTTTTAATCCAAGGAGTTTTTCCCACAGGACTTTTTCAGTGCGAAAATTTAGGACTTTATTTTAATTGACCTTCAGTCCCTTTAAATGCGTTCTTAATTGACATACAGTCCCTTTAAATACCTTCTTAATTGACATGCAGTCCCTTTAAATACGTTCTTAATTGACATACAGTCCCTTAAATACCTTCTTAATTGACATACAGTCCCTTTAAATATTATCTTAATTGACATACAGTCCCTTTAAATACCTTCTTAATTGACATACAGTCCCTTTAAATACCTTCTTAATTGACATACAGTCCATTTAAATACCTTCTTAATTGACATACAGTTCCTTTAAATACCATCTTAATTGACATACAGTCCATGTAAATTCTTCTTAATTGACATACAGTCCCTTTAAATACCTTCTTAATTGACATAAAGTCACTTTAAATACGTTCTTAATTGATATACAGTCCCTTTAAATACCTTCTTAATTGACATACAGTCCCTTTAAATACCATCTTAATTGACATACAGTCCATTTAAATATCATCTTAATTGACATACAGTCCCTTTAAATACCTTCCTAATTGACATTTAAAACGCGTTTCAATAAATCTAGCTTATCTCGCAATTATTTTATTGATATTTTAAAAGTTATGTCAATAAAATTTTTTGATTTGTTAACAATAAACTTAAGTCCGATGAAATAAATCAAAATAATTTAATAATTTAATCATTTTATTGCCCGTTTGATGAGTTAATAATACCAGGCTTTCAGGGCGAGAATATTAATAACTATTATTATTAATTTTTTTATATTTCAATTTTATACATTAATTCTGGTGAATATAATGAATAATATGATCGAGTCATAACAGTACTTTTCATCCCTTTATTCTGCACGATTTCCTCTTTTGTCTCTCTTCTACAGACAACCGCACTGTACATTTTCAACTTTCACATAGAAAAACAAAAAATGCTGTTTTCATAATATGCCTAGTTTTAGGGTAGATTATCTGAACTAACGTAGTTATCAAACTAATGTCTTGTTTTAGGGTAGATTATCTGAACTAATGTAGTTATCAAACTAATGTCTTGTTTTAGGGTAGATTATCTGAACTAATGTCTTGTTTTAGGGTAGATTATCTGATATAAAGAATAAGAAGGAAAGAGCAAATCTGAAGTTGAATATTCTTCTTCTCAGTGATTATGGTCTAAACAGTCGAGCCAACACAACTAAACTAGGTACAGTGCAGTACAGTACAGTACAGTACAGTACTGAAATAATAATAATAACAAGTTACTTTATTTTTTTTGTATGCCAAGAATTATGAGTGTAAAATGAGTAAAATTAAAAATTATTTTAAAAATGTGTATTTACAATGTATAAGTTATGGACAAAGTCCTATCTCTTGATATCTCGCTACCAGAATGTTTTTTTAACTGCTATATCCTGATATAGAGGCAGAACTTTGTTTTCAATTAAAAGTTAAAAAAAACATCAAGGTGTTACTGTTTCCTTCGAGTTCATAGATTAATTGACAATAACAAATAGAACACTGAATGTCGTCTTTTCAAGATTTAGTTGTTCTTCGTTCATAACGAACCTGAAGCGCATGCTCTCTCTCTGTCTTATAATTAAACGCCACATGCGCGTAACTCCTTTAGGCTTCTGTCTCGGGGTTATTGTGGACGAAAAACCTCTAAATCTTAAAAAGACTAAATCTAGTATTCTATCTGTTATTATGTTTTTGAGCATGTACAGTACATTGATCTATGTTCTAGTTCTTGAAGACTATATGGAGTTTGAGCATGTACAGTACATTATACAACGTGGAGGTTCAGTTGTACTGATACCATACGCTCTAAAGGTATGTATTCTATATTATTGTAGTGTAAATTAAATCAATTTTATAAAACTTAAAGTGTATCAATTTTTTCGAAGTGGAAAACATGTAAATAGTTTTATTATTATGTACACTGATACTTTTTGAGATACCACTAATTGTAGGCAAGCAAATTAAGGGCTTTACAAAATCTTGTGTGTACATAATTTATTTATAGGGTGGGTAAAAATGATTTCTTCCCTCGGGAAAATATCATAAGCCAACTCTGATTATTCGGGAGTTTCGGACCCTGTACAACATGTACACTAGATTAATCACATGTACCCTGTACAACATGTACACTAGATTAATCACATGTACCAGCTGTACAACATGTACACTAGATTAATCACCTGTACATGTATAGGCTGGCGATATACTGAATGGTGTGGCAGGAAAGCTGGGTGTCGGATCTATGCTTGGAATTGATGTTTATGTAAGAGATGTTAATCTTCAAGTTCCTCCGCTAGGTTGGACTTATTTTTAGAAATATGTTTACAATGGTTCCTATGAATTTAAGAAACTGTAAGCGTATAGTTTCTAGTGACGATTCATGTAAAGATGGAATTGCCCGAATCAAGAATAAATTAGAACCAAAATGTTCATCTGAAAATTTTTTATAAATTTATAAATTTTACTAAAAGAATTCAATACCCCAAACCCTGTGTACTCAATGATACCAAGTGAACTATACAGCCAACCAGAGGCCGTTCCTTTCATAAACTACATTGGTCGACAACTTGACGTCTCCTATATTGGTCGTCAAGTGTACGGAGAAATATCTATCTATCAGATAAGAATTTAGCATGAGACATCTAGTGGCTAACATATCGTCCCCCAAAGTACGTGAACTACGCGACCAATATCTATAGAAAGAACGGGCTCAGGGCAGGAGCAAGATGTCCGCCCCCCTGATAAGAACTCCTTATTTTTGTTCTTTGAACACTGTTTATTTTCATTTGCGGTTTCTTTGCAAAAGTGATTTGCGCTTTTTTGGTTATAAGAAAAACAGGGGAAATGTTCAAAATTAAACAATTTTCAACTTTTTTATCAGCTTTTAAAGGTATCGTTGTAAATCGGGCATTGCCATCTTTGCACTGGTGATCACAACATCAAAAAAAATGTTTTTGTCTTTTTGGTCCTCAAATTCTTCATTTTTATGGGTACCAGTAGAAATTTTGAAAAATTGTACAGTAAATTAAATATTAACATTACGTCAATATATTCAACAAGTATATTCTCTAAAAGAGTAAAACGCACGATTTCGCTCAGGATCATTCCTTCTGCTACAGTAAAATTTTGCATAATTTCATTAAAAAGAAATTTTGTGAGGCCTCCTAAACACCAAAAATCCTAGAATTTTGTGAGGCCTCCTAAACACCAAAAATCCTAGAATGTTTAAAAAACGTAAAGTAACAATGCACTGCTTCTAGAGTATCCGACAATTCCTGAATACCTTCACTACTCCGGGCACACCTGGACACAGGATATTCTCCTAGTTGCTAAACCAGGTTTGAAACTTATAAATATCTGGAAACTAAACCAGGTTAAAAAGTTATAAATATCTAGAAATTAAACCAGATTTGAAACTTATTAATATCTAGAAATTAAACCAGGTTAGAAACTTATAAATATCTAGAAACTAAACCAGGTTTGAAACTTATAAATATCTAGAAATTAAACCAGGTTTGAAACTTAAAAATATTCTCTAGCTATGGAGCTATTTATGTTCCTTTTTAGGTTTTGAAATTGAAGTTGGGAACGCTAGTGAGAAATTGCTGCCTCCTATGAAGGAACCTCAAGTTCTAGGAACCTCAGGATATATTCCCGACCCACCTCCACCTCTAGTAGTTCCTGGCAGGTAATATATCAGGATACATTCCAGACCCACCTCCACCTCTAGTAGTTCCTGGTAGGTAATATATCAGGATACATTCCAGACCCACCTCCACCTCTAGTAGTTCCTGGCAGGTAATATATCAGGATACATTCCAGACCCACCTCCACCTCTAGTAGTTCCTGGCAGGTAATATATCAGAATACATTCCAAACCCACCTCCACCTCTAGTAGTTCCTGGCAGGTAATATATCAGAATACATTCCAAACCCACCTCCACCCGTAGTAGTTCCTGGCAGGTAATACATTTATAATAAAGTAAGGTTCCTATATATTTTTTTTACAAATAATAGTAAAGATTATTACAAAAAACTAATATGATTAACCATAATATGAAGTAGTTTAGAATGATTAAAAATAACAATAATAATTATAATCTAGGAAAAAAGATAATAATCATTAATAATAATCCAGGGACAACTAATGATAACTTTGGGACAAAAATAATAATAATAATAATCTAGGGACAAAGATAATAATTATTATAATAATCTAGGGACAAAATCATTAATAATAATCCAGGGACAACTAATGATAACTTTGGGACAAAAATAATAATAATAATAATCTAGGGACAAAATCAATAGTAATAATAATAATAATCTGGTGACAATAATAATGATAATAATTTAGGGACAAGCACAAGAGCAAAGAGTTGCGCGCGCGAGAGAAAGTAGAAGGGGAACTTTATCACCGGTTTGCGCACATGATGAAAACTGTTGGGTTTGCTTGGGGACCAGGTATCATTATTATCATTGTTATCATTTTCTATAGTCTTCACATTCATACATTTACGTATTATGATCATTATTCTTAAAATATAGCAATATATATTTTTTGACATTAATTTTAGCTGAGTTTTTTTAAACTGTCTTTAATATACACATCTTGATATAAGTTTGATAGCATATCAATAATATGCATTAACAACACTTTTTAAATTAACATTGTAAACTTTCAACTAAAAATTGTCATTTCTTATTTTTATTTTAAGATTTTAAACCTGGACATGTCAGTTCTACTATAGAAATTGTGGATATCTATCAGATTATGGCCTTCCTTCTTCAAGTTGATCCTCAACCTCATGATGGTAGTTGGGATAGGTAGGTCCAAGAGATGCACGTTGGTAGGACTATACTTTTCCGAGATTCTCGTTCTTTAAATGGGATTTTTCACTTCCCTTGCACCCAATTATAGGTTTCTAGGGTTGATAACAGGATCAATGCATAACAAGATGTAACAATTAAATAATTTCAATGTGAAGGATAATATAAGGGTTATCAACCACCCCTCTTTTTTGGGGATTCTTATTCTTCCTTTGGGATTGCTCCCCCGTAGTCCAATATATCTGAATAGTTTGTTGTTCATGCTTAAATGAATAACAGGATGAGAGGATTCAAGATATATAAGGATAAACGGATAAAGCAATATTAGGATGTATGTAGCAATCTGTATATGGGGCTCCATGTTACATTTTTGAAAAATCCTTATTAAAAGGGTTAAATAAAAGTGTGATAAGATAAAGGGTTACGGGGTCATTCAAAAAATGGCAATGGGTTAGAGAAATAAAGAATGAAGAAATAAAAGAATAACAGGATAAAAGGATAAAAGAAAAAAAGGATAAAAGGATAGAAGTATAAAAGGATAAAAGGATGAAAGGATAAAAGAATGAAAGGATAAAAGGATAAAAGGATAAAAGGATAAAAGGATAAAAGGATGAAAGGATAAAAGGATAAAATGATAAAAGGATAAAAAGATTAAAGGATAAAAGGATGAAAGGATAAAAAGATAAAAGGATAAAAGGACGAAAGGATAAAAAGGATAAAAGGATGAAAGGTTGAAAGGATAAAAGAATAAAAGGATAAAAGGTTGAAAGGATAAAAGGATAAAAGGATAAAAGGATAAAAGGTTGAAAGGATAAAAGGATAAAAGGATGAAAGGATAAAAGGATAAAAGGATAAAAGGATAAAAGGATAAAAGGATAGAAGGATAAAAGAATAAAAGGTTGAAAGGATAAAAGGATAAAAGGATGAAAGGATAAAAGGATGAATGGATAAAAGGATGAAAGGATAAAAGGATGAAAGTATAAACGAATAAAAGTATAAGAGGATAAAAGGATGAAAGGATAAAAGGATGAAAGGATAAAAGAATTATTGGGTGAAAGGCGTCCTGGACGATCAGATAAATATTTTAATATTTCAGGGTGAAACCGATGATTGTTCTGAGCTCTGGAGAAAACTTAACTCCAGTTCTATTCCTATCCCTCCTATCTTCCATCCTCCTTCTNAAAATTTATTAGTTTTTTTGTATCTAAAAATTCAATTTTATATTATATTCAAAATTTTAAAAAAATTGTAAATATTAATATTAAGTATCCCTTTATTTTATATTTGTACAGTTATAAAATGCCCTTTGAAATAAAACACTTAAGATTTTTTGGATTTTTAAAAATTTCTGTTTAAAAATCAGATTTAATACAAGATTTACCAGAATACATAGATAGAATCACAACAGAACCCTTACAAGCTCTGTTTGATCAAGATTACATGAGATATTCAGCATTTTCTCTTTGAACATTGATTATGTTGAATTGTGGTTTCCTCCCTATTGATCAGAACAATGTTTTTAAGACTACCGTTCTTCTATCTATCTAATATCTATCTTCTATCTATCTAATATCTTTCTTCTATCTATCTGATATCTATGTTCTATCTATCCTATACCTATTTATATCTTATTCTATCTATTTTCTCTCTCCCACCTAAAATGTTTTTAAAACTGTTATTTTTCATGATAAACTAACATTTAGAGCCCTGAAGCCCAGGTTTCATAAAAGAAGTATACCTTTCTTCATTTTCATATTTTTATTTAACTACAAAGCACGAGATAATACAAATAAACAATCACAATTTACTATGTAGTTTGGACTCGCCTAACCAGAGTTGGTTGTTTTAATTGGTTGGCCCGTTATTTTAAGTGAATGAGAAGGGTGAAGAAGATAGAAAGATTAAGTTTATCCACATGATACACAGTTTTTTGGCAGATATAACTTGCATCACTATCTAAATAGATCTTGGCGACTTTTCTTTTAAACAGTTTTGCAGATTTAGTTTCTTTAAGCTCTAATTCAATCAAATTCCATAATTTTGGAAATAAAGCGGAGGGAAAACATTCTAGCGCTTTAAAAAGAACCCTTTTATGCAAGTGTGTATGATTTTGTTCTATTCTTGCTTAGCTTTCATTAAAAAGTAGAACTAAGGTTGCTTTTCCTGACATGATTTATTACTTGTTATCTTAACATTTGTAAAAATTCACTTTTAATTATTTTATCTTATGATATGATTGTTTACAGAACGTCAGAAAATTCCATAATTTCAGATTACATATTTTTTATCAAATTTCAGATTTTTTTCTATTTCAACATTTTGAAGAAACATGTACACATATACAAAAAAATTTATTAGTTTTTTTGTATCTAAAAATTCAATTTTATATTATATTCAAAATTTTAAAAAAATTGTAAATATTAATATTAAGTATCCCTTTATTTTATATTTGTACAGTTATAAAATGCCCTTTGAAATAAAACACTTTAGATTTTTTGGACTTTTAAAAATTTCTATTAAACTGTTTTGCAGATTTAGTTTCTTTAAGCTCTAATTCAATCACATTCTAGCGTTTTAAAAAGAACCCTTTTATGCAAGTGTGTATGATTTTGTTCTATTCTTGCTTAGCTTTCATTAAAAAGTAGAACTAAGGTTGCTTTTCCTGACAAAATCTAATATTTCTTCAATCATTTTAAGTTAACAAAATCTAATATTTCTTCAATCATTTTAAGTTAACAAAATCTAATATTTCTTCAATCATTTTAAGTTAACAAAATTCAATAGAATCCCAGAAACTAAGATGTTTGGAAATTTGGACAAAAAAAGTAACAAAATATAATTTTTATCTTTTTTATAATTTGTCTGTTTAATCTGTCTGTCCGGCGCCCTGGTTATCTTGTATTGAATTGTTTAATTTTAAAAAGAAGATTTAACGCAAACAATACTTTATCTTCACAAAACATAAAAAAAATTTAATTATATTTGAACATTTTTTAATGTTGAAGAAAAAAATTTAAAATGCATTTGTTTGAAAGATTATCAATATATCTTTACAAACTTCTTGATTTGTGTTCATGCTCTGTCTTAAAATTGTGCATTTTGCTTCCGATCTATTTAATAAAAAGCAAAGACTGATAAGAATGGACAATAAGATTGTTTGGAACGCAAAAAATGTTTGCTTTAAAAATGTACTGTTTTCTCTCAAAAAAAACCTATAGTCTGTGTGTTTGTTTGTTTTACCGCCAATTGACCCGACACATTGCCAAAACAGAGGACCGTAAAGTTACAATTAACCTCCCTTAAGACAGTTAAGTAAAATAACGACCCGCAATTGCATCTCCAAAGACGATAACATTTTTAGGAAATTTCAGGTGACATTAGTTCCAAAACTAACACTTGGCCCATTTCTAAAAGTGAGTGTTCGAAATGGGCACAAATTGAAAGACTGGGTTTTTGGGATTCCGGCTATTATCCAGAGTAAAAGTAGATAGTAAAAACTTTAACCAACATTTTATTAAACATGACGTGGACAACAATTCCCAATTTTAAACTTTTTATTAAAATCAAAAATATAATAGTAGTTCTCTTTATATTAAATCTCTTGAAACAGTTGTGCGTTTTCGAGACAAAACAGTTTCCCGCATTTCTAGTTAAATCTACATTGTAAGAACAAATGATATTAATATTTTGATTTCTAAATGCTGTAATGATTTTTAGATTATAAAAGAATAGCTTGTTTTTATTTTCTATTTTGTTTATATTTTACCTTATCAAAACATCTTGTTTTGTTACGTAAGTGCGTAAATACTTGAAGATTGTCATTGATATGAATTCCGGTAATTGTCTCAAAACCAGGATATGTTCCGAAAACGCGACATGAGCTGAAATCCGGTAATTGTTTTAAAAAAGGGATATGTTCGAAAATTAAATCAAAAATCATCAAAAACTAATTCTTACACCTTATTATTTGTTTGAAATTGACATTTATTGTTTCAATATATAGTTTTAGCCATTTTTTATAAATATATGGTGTAATTTTGTTCTACTCGACTTGGATTTAAAGATAAATACTCTTGAAAAAGATAACTTTGCAGATTTGGCCCATTTCTAACACTCAGTGTTAGAAATGGGCCAGGTGCTAGTTTTGGAACTTATATCCCCTGAATTTAAAATTATACTTAACCACGGGTTCCCTCGACAAAATATACCTCGCTGAACTCTGGAAGGTTTGTAGGCAAAATTGGTCTTGGGAACTCTTGGTAAAGTAAAATTCCCTTTACTTTCCTGTAAAGTAGTTGCAAACATGTTAATAATTAAGTTTTGGTGAAAAAATTCTCGCCATAATTAAAGCCCAGTGTTATGTACGTATACCTAAACAGATGCAAGATAATTCATAGACTATAAATATGATTAAGAAGGAAAGATATCGAGTTTTGAACAGTCATTTTTAAAGGGAGATACGTTTTATTGTGTTTAATTGCAGTTAAAATGCACGTGGCAATTATGTAGATAACACACAATTGAAAATAATCAGTTTTTGAATTTATAAACATGAATATCTAATTCATACTAGATCTGACGAAACTTTCCATGGTACCGTTGTAAATCAGACATTGTCGTCTTTGCATGGAGGGTCACTTGAAATTACGCGTACAGTCCCTTTAACCATGAGCTGCCTCAATTTTTTGAGACCCTAACGAAGGGACGAAAACATTTCACTAAAATATGTGGGTTTTGAGTATTAAATAAGCTGCACAAAGCGCGGGAAAGCCATGTAAAATAACAATGCTAGACTTCCTCAGTGGTGTAATTTTTTGGGAAATAACTGTGTTTATATGAATTTTATGATTTTGTTTTTAAAAACAAACTCAATTAGTGAAAGAAATTTTTAAGTAATAAGGTCATTGAAGTATGAGTAATTTATACCAATTAATAAATTTGAAATCTATTTAAGTTTTTAACAAATTAAAAGATTTTAAAATTGATCACAAAAAAGCGCTGTTTTCAAAAAACATTTTTAAAAGTTAAATTTGTACTTTTTTGGAAAAATTATTTCTTTTATAACTGAAAGTGCAAATAAAAATTCATTCCTTCATTTATAAGAAATATGTTTGAATTATAAAAAAATCCTTATCTTAATAATTGTGTCTTCAACCCAGTGTAGTACATGTTTAAACAGTTGAATTCTATCATTGGTTCGATAACAGTCATCTGAAAATATTTGTATTTCAAACGTGGAGCCATACAAAATTTTGAAAAATTTTGAAAAATCTTTTTGACTTTTTAGGATTTTCTTAAAAAACACAAACCCTGAGACCCCCTCCTTCCTTCTCCCGCTCCAAAAAATCCATCCCTATAACGGAGAAATAATCTATCCTAAAAAGTGCTGAATTCTACCAATTTTCTACTTGTCTCTGCATCTGACATGTAATTTGTAGCTATTCAAATTGAGGGCGTCAAAAGATCCCTTAAACGAGGTTTTGAATCCAGATGCGTATTCCGTAATCCGTAGATTCCGTAGATTCTGTAGATTCCGTAGATTCCGTAGATTCCGTAGATTCCGTAGATTTCGTAGATTCCGTAGATTTTTGTCAAATAATTCCAAAGTGATTTGTTGTCAATCCGCTAACAATGTAATAGAAACATATCTTCTGCATCTTCAATATGCAAATAATTTATATATATAGATTATATATTCTTATTAAATAGAACAAAATGGGGAAACTAGGAATATCAAACAGGTGAATATTTTATGCAAATATGCACAAGAGATGTAGAGAAGAGAGAAGAAACAACAACTTTTGAAAACATTTGCTCTACTAACACTGTAATAGAATTTTGACTCTGAAAGAAAATATAAATAAAAACGAACAAAAAACTAAACAAAAACAAAATAACTAAACAAAAACAAAAAAACGAACCAAAAAAGAACCAACAACTAACCAAGAACAAACCAGAAACAAAACAAAAACAAACAAAAACGAACCAAAAAAGAACCAAAAACGAACCAAAAATAAATCAGAAATGAAAGAAAAAAGCAAAAAACGAAACAAAAACAAACCAAAAACGAAACAAAAACGAACCAAGAACAACCCAGAAACAAAACATAAACCAAAAGCGAAACAAACAAAAACGAACCAAAAACGAATCAAAAACAAAACAGAAACAAAACAAAACAAAACGAACCAAAAAAAAACAAAAACGTACCAAAAATGAACTATACTTATACAACATGACTTCTTGTATTCAGTTATGTCAGAAATTTCTTGGCTGAGCTACTGGGAACATTTCTCCTGGTAGTTTTCGGGGATGGGGCAATAGCTCAGGTACAAAGACGACATCATAGATTTATTGAAAAATTTTATTTTTCTGTTTTTGTTTTTGAAAACAGCGTAAACCTTATTTAATATCAAAAATATTTGTAAACGTGAATACCATGGCTTTGTTTAACCTTGTTAAACTGTCGTCGACATTTCCAGTGAACCTGATTTTACAGCGTGACATGCCCAATTAAGTATGGTAAAGTACAGTACAGTACAGTACAGTACAGTACAGTACAGTACAGTACAGTACAGTACAGTACAGTACAGTACAGTACAGTACAGTACAGTACAGTACAGTACAGTACAGTACAGTACAGTACAGTACAATACAGTACAGTACAGTACAGTACAGCACAGTGCAGTACAGTAGTGAACAGGATTTTACAGCAGGACATGCCCAATTAACTATGGTACTCTTTAAACCTTCATCTGTATTATCTAAAAGTGCAAGTTTCTCTGTAAAGTGTTTTAAACAAGATATTTTTGTTACTCAGAACTGTTATGATCGGACATGGTGGACCACTTAACATTAAAATCAGATTCAGCTGATTAATATTTGGTTTGGTTTAGAATACGGGTTATCTGATCAGTCTTTGGTTTTGTTTAAATCAAGATCAGCTGATTAATATTTGGTTTTGTTTAAATCAAGATCAGCTGATTAAAGTTTGGTTTGGTAAAAAAATCAATCTCAGCTGATTAATATTTGGTTTTGTATAAAATCAAGGTCAGCTGATTAATATTTGGTTTTGTATAAAATCAAGGTCAGCTGATTAAAATTTGGTTTTGTATAAAATCAAGGTCAGCTGATTAATATTTGGTTTTGTATAAAATCAAGGCCAGCTGATTAATATTTGGTTTTGTATAAAATTAAGGCCAGCTAATTAATATTTGGTTTTGTAAAGGTCACACTAGACAGAGATGGCGGCTTCCTGAACATTTGTATTGGATACGGTTTAGCACTCATGATTGGTATCCTGGCCAGTGGCGGGGTCAGGTACACATTTATTAACTAAAGAGACAACTTCGTTATTTTTAAATGGTTCTTTGTACAAAAACGGCTTTTATTCACAACAAATTTCTTTATAGCTTTATCTAATCAAGTTGATTTGGATATCATAGTAGGAATTATCAGATTTGGATATCATAGTAGGAATTATCAGATTTGGATATCATAGTAGGAATTATCAGATTTGGATATCATAGTAGGAATTATCAGATTTGGATATCACAGTAGGAATTATCAGATTTGGATATCACAGTAGGAATTATCAGATTTAAACACTTTTAATTAAACCCAGTACTATAGTTTCATTAGAAGTAAATATTTCCATTTACTGATAGCGCCGATTTAAGGATTCATTTAACTCTAATTGGATGAGATAGATAGAAAGATAGATGTTATAACGCCAGACTATTTCTATTGGTTTAGAATAGACAACAAACACATGGCTGAACCCTGATTGGATCAGGCGCTAATGGACTCGGCATATAAGAGTGAGAGAAAGGATTATATCTTTCACATTGATGATCAGATAAAGGCTTCAAGGGCACCCTAGTCATTCGTGCATTGGTATATTTGATTGTAAGGTCCTTAAATTTAATACATAATATAATATCATGATTTGAAGTGGTGGTCACCTAAACCCAGCAGTGACAGTAGCAATGGCTCTTCTTGGAAAAGTTAAACTACTACAGGTATGTACATCATACAGAGCGTCCCATATTATATTAGATTATCTCCAAGTTTTGACGCCAAAATAAAACCATAATACTCGAAAAAAACTAGTATTTTCCGCAAGAAAATTCTTAAATTAGCCTTATTCAATTTTTCAAAATAATTCATTCTTCTTCCTGCAAAGTCCTCAAAATTGTAATTTAGACGATTTGCGATCTAATATGATGTGGGACACCCTGTACTTTACGTACATTACATACAGTGATAACCAGAAAACAAGTAAGGCGAACATTATAGCAATACTTGAGTGTATACTATAATGCTACAAAGCAAATAGTTTAAAGCTAGACACTTATTAAATCACTAATTTATTGAAATGGGGTTGTTTACACTGCAAACTTGCTGTGTCACATGCTCATTCGACTTTTATATTTAAAACGTTATTTTTAAAAGTCGTCTTCCTATTTTTTTGGTTATGAGTGATTTGTACATAATATGCTCATTTTAAGAGGGTCTAACTTTTAAGTCACCACGCTCATTTTGTTTCTTGAATCCAATTTTATTATATTTCCAGATTTAGATTTTATTAAATTTCCAGATTTACATTTTATTATATTTCTTGATTTACATTTTATTATATTTCCAGATTTACTTTTATTATATTTCCAGATTTACATTTTATTATATTTCCAGATTTACATTTTAGTATATTTCTTATAGACTTGATCCCATACTATAATATTCCTAGGTACCCATATTATTATATTCCTAGGTACCCATATTATTATATTCCTATGCTCCCATATTATTATATTCCTACGCTCCCATATTATTATATTCCTAGGTACCCATATTATTATATTCCAAGGCTCCCATATTATTGTATTCATAGGCTCCCATATTATTATATTCCTACGCTCCCATATTATTATATTCCTAGGTACCCATATTATTATATTCCTAGGTTACCATATTATTATATTCCTAGGTTACCATATTATTAAATATATTTCTCGGTTAACATATTATATTCCTAGGCTCCCATATTATTATATTCCTAGGTTACCATACTATAATATTCCTAGGTTACCATATTATTATATTCCTAGGTACCCATATTATTATATTCCTAGGTACCCATATCATTATATTCCTACGCTCCCATATTATTATATCCATATTATTATATTCCTAGGTACCCATATTATTATATTCCTTGATTACCATATTATTATATTCCTAGGCTCCCATATTATTATATTCCTACGCTCACATATTATTATATTCCTAGGTCCCTGTTTACATTCTTGGACAGTTCATTGGAGCATTCCTGGCCGCAGCGGTAGTGCTGGGTGTCTATGCTGATGCTATAAATACTGCAGATGTTAATGTAAAAATTAGTTTTTTATTAATTTATTTTATAAAAAGTTATTTGTTAAAAGGGTTCAGGTTTTAAATGTTCAATTACAATCAAAGAATTTCAAAATGTTCAGTAAACTAAATTTGACTGAGCACTGATCCAAATTTTGATCAACCAACTTTTGTTAAATGAAATCTTTTACAGTGAATACGAATTTCGCTCAAAAACTACTTTTGCTAGATTGACATTTATTATCAACGAGGATGAAAAGTGTGCATTAGATTTCCAGTTTTTGTTTTAGAATTTTGAAGCTTTTCATTTGTGACTTCTCTACAAAAGTGACTTGCTCATTTCTTGCTTCAGAGACAATGAAGAAATTAACATAATAGAGCACTTTTCAACCTAAAAAACGACTTAGCTTAACTATTAACTATAGTATTGCAATCCCGTTAAAAACATTCTCTTTCACCAATTATTTCCCCGAAGAAGCCTTAGCCTTTACTTACAGGATATATATAGGGCAAAACGGAACGGTACACCGCATGAATCTAGTGAAAGGAATTGAGTCTTTTCAACCAACTCTGCTTTTGAAATCCCTATATCTTTGGAACCCAATGTCGTAAATCTTCAATATTTTAAGCTTATATAATTTGATCTTACAGAATTCATAGTTTGGAATATCATAGGTCTACGACATTTGAATCCAAAGATATAGGGATTATAAAATCAGAGTTGGTGGCCAAGACTCAATTCCTTTATGTGAAATTTATGATCTTTTTTTCCAATAATATGTAATGATCAGTGTTATTCAGCGCTTTGTTTGGTTTTGTTTCATTTTTCCATCTTCTAATGGTCAAAATTTAGCACAGTGCAATATGCAAACTTGAACCAAATACAGTTTTAAAAGTTTTTTAACAACACCTGATATACTGTATGAATGATAATAATGATGTGAACTAGGGTTTCCAGCGAACAAAAACTCTCGCGAAATTTTTTTTTGGTATTTCGCAAACTTTTTTTGTGAAATTATGAATTTTTTTCGGGAAAATTTATTTTGCGAAAACGATGAGGAATTTCGTGCGAACAAAACAAAATATGCGACAATTTCCTGAAAAATTACAAAACTTTTGCATTAAAAATGCAAATTTTTCGCGGAAAATTTGAAACTTTCGCGAGCCAATTTACCAATGTGGCTGGAAACAATTGTCGCGAGACAATTTACCAATGTGGTTTGAAACCCTAATGTGAATCCTTGTTTAGTGGAGTTTAACTACTGCTGGAATATTTGCTTCCTATCCTAGGTTTAATACGGTAAGATTTTATTATCAGACCATATATTAAATCTATATAATAAAGCTCTTCCCTCATGTTGTTAGCTATCAAAGTGAATAAATACTAAAGTGGAACAGACTAAGGAAACGACGACAGGTTGGGCCATAAGGTTTTATTTGGTTTGGAAATAATTTCATGAAAAGATTTCGTTTGGAAAGTAAAGACTAGAAAAAATAGACTAAAGACCCATGTAAATGTCGTCTTCAGATAGAACTTCGAAATTTTCACGATTTAAAATCAAAATTTTTTGTACGTTTCTATGTAGTTTATATGTAAATACTATTTAGTCACTTAATTAATTCATTGATTTTGCCTGGCACTTCTAATTCTATAGGAATTTATCTTTAAAACTGCTTAGTTTTGTTCTTTCAAATCTCACTCCATTTTAAAATATGTTTGTAAATTTCTTAAAACAGATCTATGTTATCATCCAGAGGCGTATTCAGGGGGGGCTATGGGGGCTCATCCCCCTTCTGGATCAGTGGGGGGGGAGGTCGGCCTCCCCCCTCCCAAAAAGAAAAAGAAATGTAAGCCCTTAATATCTTTAAAACTTTGTCTTATAGTTCTCAACCACTCTTAAATCTGTCAAAATACAAAAGTGAAGACCAAGAGATATATTTCGAAGATCTTCATTTTTCGGACTAGTGAAATATATTCTTTTCGGGGGAGTTTTGGCCTCCCCCCCCCCTAAAAAGACGAAGAATTGTAAGCCCTTCCTGGGAAAAAAAACCTGAATACGCCACCCTTAATATCTTTAAAACTATGTCTTATAGTTCTCAACCACTCTTAAATCTGTCAAAATACAAAAGTGGAGACCAAGAGATATATTTCAAAGATCTTCATTTTTCGGTATTACAAATTGTGCATTCCTTGTTTTACAGATTATGCTTGCATCATTATTGTGCTGTCTGAAATCATTTATTGTGCAGTAAAATGGCTAAAATTCACTTCTGAAATCTTAATTTACGTTAATTTATATTTAAGTAAAATACGAATTCTAAGTCTGTGTTTGTAAACAAAGGGAGTCCAGTTTCTGTTGTACTGTACACTCCGTATACAGACCAATTTATATATATATATATATATACATATTTATAAATACTTGGGACATAAAATGTCGTCATCCAACTATGAGTTTGGCCCACTTTAGTATTTAATCACTTTGGTTAGCTATAGCTGGCTAAACGGCTGAACCAAATTGGCCGACATTTTTTGAGGAAACTCACGTGTGCCCTGGGGTGACAAAAGCTAAAATTCAGTTTTTTAAACTCAAAATTTTCATTTTTGTTTTAAATTCTACGGGAAAGCCGGACACTAGATCTAGTATATTTTATATTAATTGGCCTGGCCTAAAAGCATGGCTAAATGCACAATCCAATATTGTACTGTACTGTTCTATAAACTGTACTGTACTGTTCTGTAAACTGTACTGTACTGTTCTACAAACTGTACTGTATTGTACTGTACTGTACTGTACTGTACTGTACTGTACTGTACTGTACTGTACTGTACTGTACTGTACTGTACTGTAATGTACTGTACTGTAGGTGAGTACAATAACCCTGGTGATGGATCAGATCCTTGGAACAGCTCTCCTTCTTATTATTATCTTGGCTGTAACAGATTCAAGGAACATGAAGGTAAGATGAACAGAATTTGAGAAGTTCAAAATATATACTTTGCTTGTCTGCTGTCTGTTTGTTTGTGTCCAATAAACGACAAAACGGTTAAACCGATCAGTTCCAAATTTTGTGTGGGACCTCACATGGCCACAGGGAAGGTTCATGGATGATCAAAATTTCAAAAATTTGCCTCCAACCAAATTAGATTTTCGTAAAATTTTTAAAATCCACAAAAATACAACAATTTAAAATCCCCTTAATGTATAGAAAGAGAAAATGTTTACTATTAAGACAGAAAATGGGTGCCAAGCGCCCTAAAAGCCTAGTTTCTTATAATTCAATTTGGATAGGGTTAAAAGAAAAATCCCAACCGGGATAGGGTTAAAAGAAAAATCCCAACCGGGATAGGGTTAAAAGAAAAATCCCAACCGGGATAGGGTTAAAAGAAAAATTCTTTAACATTTAAATGTTTGCAGACCGGATTAAAGCTTTAATGCCAATAACTATGTAATAAAGCTATAAATTTGCGAACTTCATATTAATTCAATGTTTGCAAATTAATAAAAAGGATTCTGGAAACGAATATTGACTCAATAAATAATGAGAATTTTATAATTGATAAATAAAATTTGATTTATTCGGCTATTATGTATAACTGTAAAACAATGCAAATTTTTCTTTTTAAAATGCTGAACCCTTGTATTTAAATAATAAAATCTGAACACCGCACTTTACTATACAGGCCATTAAAGAAAGGTACTGAGTTGCTTATTACATTAAAGAAAGGTACTGAGTTGCTTATTACATTAAAGAAAGCTTATTACATTAAAGAAAGATACTGAGTTGCTTATTACATTAAAGAAAGGTACTGAGTTGCTTATTACATTAAAGAAAGGTACTGAGTTGCTTATTACAATAAAGAAAGATACTGAGTTGCTTATTACATTAAAGAAAGGTACTGAGTTGCTTATTACATGGTCATAAAATACAGTGGCACAATGTTTTAAGACCAGCTAGCTTATTAAAAAATTAGACTATATTGTTTTTGAAAAGTTATAACAAGAGGCTCCGCGTTTTTATGATAAATTTTTTTAAGTTGTTAATTTTATATCTCTAGCTTGAATAAAAATTGGATTCTTAATTTAAATGAAAATAGAATTTAAACTGTACTTTATTTTTTTATTTACGCCTTGCCAAAAAATGTTAGAGATAATTATTGTATTAATTTTTAAGTTTTAAACAGAAATTTTCTCTGTATAGCTTGAAGGTTGAAATATAATCTAAAAAGGCTTAAACCTTCTCAATAAAGAGAAAAATTCTATAATAGTGTTACAAATACATAGTAAATTCCAAGGTACTAATGCAAGGCAAGTTAATTGCGGTTGCGTATACTCTGCGTACTTATTGAAACCAGTTCTCTCTGGGCGGAATTTGTAAACAAGAATAGATGCATTAGTGTTCGTTTAGTATCCGAGGAGGTTAAAAGCATTACATTTTGATAATTTTGAAAATTCACATAACAGTTTCATATGACAAGAATATTTCATAGATAATTTTTGTGAAAATGGATTCCGTGTCAGGCTGTGGCATACGTCTTGTGTTTACTTTTCCACCCAAAGACAGTACACTGCAGTACAAAAATGCATACACCTCTAAAATAACTTTTTTTTAATCCAAAATAAATTCCTTAATTCGTTTTCTTGCCGTTTAATTTTAAATTTGCTGTTCCAGTTTTGGTCTGAATTCTGGCTGTGCAATTAATCCCGCAAGAGATTTTGCTCCTCGTCTTCTTTCATTGATCGCTGGCTTCGGAACAGAAACTTTCACGGTAATATATTAATAATTCGAAGTTTGAATAGACTGTTTATAATTTTAACTGATCCTCCTTTAAAAACTTTGTCTGATTAAAACTGATTTAAAAA